TAGAGGCTACCCATATATGGTCCTTCTCTTTAGGAAAAGGAAAATGAATGCATTGTTTCTGTACTATTTCCTTTTTGTGTTGCACAGAAGATTGGCATCGTTCTGGGGGAGGTCTTGTGGCAAACCAGCCTGTCTTGGTTCATTCTCCTCCTTAGGGAAAATTTGGCTTGTCACCTTCAGATCCAGCACCATTCATAAAGATCCATGCTCAATGTCTTTAAATGTTCTTTTCATTCAAGCAACATAAGCCAGTGAGGATTATTTAAGCAATGGGAGATGAGCAACTTCACTTTAGGAATCTATAGTAGGGTTGGTATGGACATTTTGAAGAAGTCTGTTTCTCCAGAGGTTTTTCAAGGCATTGATACGAGCTTATTTTTGCAAGGCCACACTGCTTAGGCTGGAAACCCTTTCACATCTCTTATCAACCATTTTGAAGACATTTACAGTATAAAAATGTTGAAGTTCTGGAATTCCCAAGGCCTTCATTAAACACATAGACTTCTGCTTGCTCTTCGAAGAGAATATTGGGTTCTGTAACTTTGACTAAGGAGACTCATTCTTAAGATGCTTGTAACATGTAATGAAATAGATGATTTCAAATGAGGGCAGGATTGAAAATTATAATTTACTTTTTTCTGGTTGTGCTATCCATGATCTTGGGTATATAGGACATTGGATAATTTTCCAAGTAGAATCTGTGATAATTTATAATTTCCTTGCAGAAAAGAAAAAGGAGTTCACTGGTAAGTTTCTATGAACTAGAGATTCCAGCACTTGCAGTAGTTGCAGTGCACGTACATCATTCTTTTCCACATATGTTGTTCCCCATGTTCAGCTACACATCCAAATGAGGGTCTTCAAAGACTTTGTGAGAGTCATTCCATAACTACTGTTCTTCCACATGAAAAAAAGAAGTACTGCTTCCTGATGCTGTAATGAAAATGCCATCTTTTGTAACAGAGACCCAAGTCCCAGATGGTGGTTTTATGATGGTCTAATACAGACCCAAGGAGCTCCTGTATATGTATCCCATCATTTTAGGCTTCCACATGTTCTTGGAAGTTATAAAAAATTTCAAACTAATTACATGCTGAAACAAACACATCCCTTAAATTATGAAAGAATACTGATTTCATGAGCATTTATCTGAAATAATCACACGCCAACTCACCAAAGTCAATTACTTGTTCCTAGGCCAGGGAAGGGGTTTTAGAATAGCCACAGAGGAAATAATTCACTAGCAGTTATGTTTCCTTCTAGCTAGCTATCTCATAGTTACAGGTATCTCTTATCTTTCCCTTGCCTCTGTTGGTATATTACTGTTTGTAGCGTCTTGAATCAGAGGGAGGTTTGTTAACTTACCATCCTTCAAATTACTGTAATTCATCGTTGTTGGAAATTCAGATGCAGTGAAATGAGAATGGCCAGTTGCTTTTCTGGGTTCTCTGTTAATACTAACCACTTCATTATTCTCATGCTAACCAAGAATTTCTAAATGTGAATGATTTCTAAATGATTTTGCATTTGCTCTGTGTCAGTCACTTTTGGACTTCCTTAATAGGTGATAAATGCTGCTTTTTTCCTCAACATCATCATATTTTAGAGGAGTTTCTTGCCCAAAGTATGGCAATAGTCATCATCATGTGAGAGAATTGTCCTAACTACACAGGCTTTGCAACTGACTGTAGTTTATACAGCTCTTCTGTGTAAGTGATTTCTGAGTGTCATGGCGCTGTGACTAAACGTAGTATAGTACCAGGACCACTTTGCAAAGCCGCCAGTGTCCTTTGAAGCTAAGGAGGAAAGGTGTTCTCCTAAACAGCTGGGATTTAAATGAAGTTTGTATTTTGCAAAGTAAATATCTAGAATCAGACAGAAAAATTATCATTCATATTATTACTGCTATAAGTGATAATCCTTTTAAAATGAGAGAGTTTTAATTGTTGGTGTTGGGAAAGCCACCATTTTCTTTACAAATAAATAGCTTCTATTGGGAAAGATACCATGTGTTTTAAGACTAGAAAGTCAGCAGAGGGAGCACGAGTTAACAGTTGTGTTCAGTGTGTTGGGCTGGTGGTGATAGTGGTGCTGGTGAACAAGCAGTGAATAATCAAATACTTGTTTGGTTTGTATTCTATAAAGATTTAATCACAGGAACACTTTCATACTACCAGCTTGAATACACTTAGATGATAAACTGTATAATGTTATTTCTAGAGGCATACAGAACTGTCAGGCAGAACTGAGGTATGATATGTAGGGGCGTTTCTATCACAAACCTTGAATTGCTCTTAGCAATTCAACTTTGTTCTAGTTTGCCTTTTGCTTTCTTCACTTGCCAACAAGCAAGTACCTTGTGCAAATATATTCCTTGTGTTCATCTCTGGAGGGCCGGGGGAAGGGAAGCAGGGGGGTAGGTGGAGGTTGCTTGCTCCTCTGAGTCATCACCTACAAGTTGGTGACATTTTCCTACTTGCCATGACACTACTTTGGGCCAAAACAAGTGAGAAAATACTTTTGAGAGAACGTGTTTCATTTTTAAGCATGCTTAACCTTAATAGTTATGACAGGTTTTTAAAAATCTGTGCCTATGAGACAGCATTAATAATTCACGTGTGTTTCATTAAAAAAAAAACAACCAAACTGTAAGGTCATTAAATTCATACTTGGTTAAGATCATCAAAGTTTAGATGACCTAAAATGCTACATTGTTGGGGTCGTAATTTGCTGCTTGAAAAAAAATACCCTGTGATTTAGTTTTGATTTTGACAATACTCAAAAGGATTTGTTATGTCTTACAGACCTTTCTACAAACTACTAATGGGATGAACACAATATATCACTTTTATAATAGTGAGCTATTAAAGGCAAACATAAAGCAGTCTGAAGCCCATAAGTGCTGCCAACAGCTCCTGCTTTAATGAATTCCCTTTTAGATGTCCATTAAATGCTCATGGCAAATGTACTCATAATGGAAATGGCAAATCTAAATGGGTAGATATGAATAATCCATGGAGTTTAAATTCTGTTTATGATCATCTTCACATTTAGTTTTCAAGACAACGCAGTTTAGTTTTCATTACAGTTTGGAATAAAGAGGACAGGGAGTAATTGATTGCTTCAAGCATATTAAAATCAATGGGTTGCTTTTCAAAGAACCCGTTCAATGCAGTAATTTCAACTTTAAACATTGATTTAGGAAACTCAACACAAAATGTTTTGTGCCGTGTGAACTTTTATGTGAAAGACTAATACTAATTTTATTTCTATATATCTGTATATAGAAATATATAGAGGTTGTTATCAGTATGTGCATGAGTAAATAGTGATCTATATTAAGTCATTTTGATATTATTGCACTCATATAATGAATCAATGAGATTCCCGTCATCATTGTGATACTGTTTGTAAACCATTAGCACACAGAAATTACAGCCCATCATACATCATTACTGTGATTGAGGCTTTATTACCATATTCTCAAATTGCTTGCTTGCTATAAAACTAAATAGACACCAGACAACTATAGGTAGACGATAGACTGTGCATTATTGTACTGGAATAATGAAGGATTATTGTAGCATAATGGGGCACAACTTATGAGGAAAATAAACTTGGCAGCAAAGGAGAACTTGAGTGTTTTTAATGTTTGTTGTTACTGCTTTAAAGGTCAAATATATTTGTTATGATCAAGTTACTGTTTCCTTATTTCATGAATCATACACTTTTCATATTTCAAATAGGCCTTCTTTTATATTTAAGCATTTAAAACCCAGGAGCTGCACTGCACTATTCAACTCCAGAGACAGATTGACAGCTTCTAAAGTACCATTGTGGAGGTGGTTGGGTGGGCAATAGGACATCTGTAATAATGCACACTTATTTTGTGTTGTGCTGAGAAGAAACAGGGAAGGAAGGAAAACCGCATCAACAGACATCAGCTGGCAAAAAGTGACGAAGGTCTCCAGACAAACAGAGATAAAGGAGACATTAGGGATTTTAGGAGCTGTAGCAAAACAATTCATAATCTCTTGATCTTAAAAGAAGAGAAAAAACAGTGAATTTGGACTTTGAGAATTTAGCAATCTCTCTTGTCAGAACTGGTGGCTTTACTGTACAACCAGCACTCACAGAATATGCCCAAAGTGTTACTTTCTCCAGCTACAAGAAAAGCTTCTAATTTAGAAAATTGAATTAATTTTCTAAATTTTAGCATGAATTTAGGCCCATTGGTCACCCATTTTAATCCCAAAGACTCAATGGAGATAGAACTGCAGCTCCCGAAGGAGTTCTGTATCATCCTCTGGGGATACTTCAAGCCCACTCATGTACTCTTGTCCACTTCAGTTCTCACATTCTTGCTTACACCTTTCTCTCCCCGCTTGCTTGCACTCAGTTTCTCCTGCTACTGTCACAATGAATTCCTTGTGTGATTCAGTGACTATAAAGTGACATTTGAAATAACTCATTCATAATCCTAGGGTTTTGTGGAAGGTTTTTTTTTTGTGTAGAATTTAAGATTTTCCATAACAGGATTTATTCTGACTAGGCCAGGTAGGCAGTGTTTGGATGAGGAGTAATGGAAGCATTGAGTTTCTGAAGTGGTCCAAGGTTATTACAGTGATCAATTGCTTGTATTTCAGTAGGAGCTGCAAGCCTTGGTCATGCTGAGGTACCAAATCACTAGTGTGCATGTGTGTCAGCCCTGTTTTGAGGTGTGTAGAAACACACTTTGCTTTAACAAGGGTTGTAACCAGCCATAGTGAAAATGCAGTTATTGTTCCTAAGAGTTTGTAGTCAAGCGTACAGCAAGAGACAATGGATCCTTACAACAAATAGGAAAATAAGAATGTGACTGTATACCCATGTATAGTCTGGGAGTGGGATACAGTGTCTGGGAGTATTGTTTTGTTACAAAACTTGAATGGTCAGCTGCTGCATGATGAAGTTTACCCTCCCGTGGCTCAGCTGGGATCTCCAGGACTCAGTTGTGTTCCCAACTCCTGGTTTTATTCCCAAGTAGCAGGAGGTGTGTTGATCCTAGTAACAGTTACTAAAACCAGACATCGAACATACTTCGTTTGGAGGAATTTTCTTAATATAGGCATAAAATTCACTACAGTGGGCAGTGCTGTCATCCAGGAGCTTTATTATCGTTTGTCCCATGTGGAACTGAGTGAGTTGGGAGACAAAGAGAATCAAGCAAAGTTAATTTTTAAAACCTACGTTGCTGGTATAATATGAATGTATAAAGTGTGTGTGAGAGTAAATATGTGTAATTATTTCCAAACTTCTTGGGTTGGATGCTGTATTTGAAAAACAGTCTTAAGTTTCTAGTGAGAAGGCTTAGTTATAGGTAAGTGTTGACTTCTTGCATAAGCATTTAACTTTTCTTGCATAAAAGCTACAGGACAGAATGAGAGTATTTAAACCTTAATACAGTTGTTAATTGTTAAATTATACTCCAGTTAGCTTTGCCAACACCATAATTGTGCAGAAAGCCAGTTAGATTAGTATGTAAGATATTCAGTCAAATATATCTTTTTTCAGAGCTTCCATACTCTTGAAATATCTCCGTGTGTGCTCACTTGTAGTGCTTTAGCATGGACATTTAGGTCTTGAACTTGTATTTCTTTGATTGCTCTCTCAGATGGCAGATTATTCTTTCCCCTGTCTTTAATCAGAAAAGTTTTGCCATCTGAGACCTGAAGTTTGAAGCATCCCACTGCTTTTCCTGAAAACTCACGTCAGCGATGGTTGGTAGCTAAGCCCTGACAGAGCCATTTTGGGCAGTATTGATTGTAATAGGTGTTTTAGGATGGAGATGGATGTGTTTTCACCTGTCTAATGTGGCATGACAAGGTCAGAAAGCAAAATTAAGTTCGGTTCCCCTTATTTACTGGGGACTGGTACTTCTGCCTTCCAGCCATGAGGCATTCAAAGATGGAAGCTTCTCTGTGTGCTCCTATTTGTTACCATGAGATTTCAAAGATAGGTTCTGAAAGAGGAAAAGACATAATGGTCTGTTACCGTGACAAGAAGGTGTTAGCATCCTTCAGCAATGTTGTAGCATCCTTCAGCAATGTTGTAACATCCTCAGAAGGACCCAGATCTTCACACCCCTCTAAATGTGTGCTATAGCCTGTGCCATCTTTCATCAGTATTCATTGCTTTGCCTTCTAGACGTAGCATGTTGCAGCAAAATGTGGTAACTGATTCTCGGTTTAGGAAGGTAGAAACATGCTGCTTCTGGAGATTATGAGTATGTGAATTTTTGCGTGAGCAGGGTTTGTCAGCATTTGAATGCTGAGCTGTTGGGAGAGACTTCTCAGGGCTTGGTTATCTGAGATTGCTGAAGAGGTAACAGGCAGTGTTAAAACTTCTCAGATGCTATCAAAATGATAGCCTGATTCATTTAACCCAGTGTATTTTTACAGAGAGAAATCTACATTTGTATCCACACAGAAAAGTTTCTTCATTCTTCTCATCTGCTGAGCAGCTACCCAAAGGTTTCTGTAGCATAAATACGAATTTCTGGGTTTATTACTTGGGTTTTCTCATTGTATGAATATCCATCTGAATTATCATTCAGAAAAAAAGAATAATTAGTTACCAGTAAAAGGAATCTGTGAGATGCATAGTCCAAATGCACATTTACTTCCTGTGTGTCCTCGTTTTCTGAGCTCATTTATGTCTAACACTCGGTGAAATGGTGCTGGATGTACTTTGCTTTAAATAGTCTTGTCATGCGTGCAGCAGTCAGGGTTTAAGTTTAGTCTTGTAAATATGTTTACTAAAGGAGGAGAAGGGGGTGAACCCCTGTTCTTAAAAGTAATAGGCTGTGTTTGCAAGTGCAGTGAGATACATAAGAGGACCTTGTACTACAGGGAGTTCTGGGTGCTGTAAGTTGTCTCATTTGACTAAAAAGCTCATTTTGTGCTCAGAATGTGCCTGTGGTAGAAATAGGATCTGTTGGAAGGGGAATCGATGTAGATGTCACAGCTCCAGGGATCACACTTAATGAAGTTTGACAGTTCAGTTTCATGGTCCACTTAAGTTGATATAACACCACTCTACTGCTGAAAAGGTAATTCTGCCTTTTTTCTTTCTTGCTTCCATCAACATTGCTGTTTGTGGGGCTGCGTAGTTATTGCTGTTTCTTGTTTTTAGGGTTGGCTTTTGGTTCTGACTGCATAATTGCTAGTGTCCATGCAAGAAAGCAAGTGGAGTTAGTGTATATGTGGCTTTCTTGGTAGCAGTCTTGTGAAAATTAAGTTGCTTTTACTTATATTGTACTACTGTTCCCAGGCACATGTGCAGCTGTCAGAAAAGAAGTTTTAAGTACATTCACTCATTTTACAACTTTCTTTGTAGTTTGCATTACAGGTTACCAGTTAAAGCAAGACATCTTAATTTGGGAGTTACATGGATAGAACGTGTGCAGTTCTTCCTGTTGGATGCTGAGCAGCTATTGCCACAAAAAAACCTGTGAGAGGCCCGTTTTCTATAAAGCCTGATACAGCACTGATGCATCAGGCTTTTGTATTATAAAAGCTTTTAAATACATGAGGAGTCCTGTTGAGTTCTGTAAAACAGTGTATTTGCTGTAAGTTAATGTACTGATATGTAGCTGACAATTCAAGTTTCAGAACATAAAATAATAGTAATATTCCATATTTCTGAATGATAGCTTTTGGACCTCTTAATAGGTAACAGTGAAATCATTGATGTAGAGTGTGCAATTACGGAGAGGCAGCAAGTGACCTGATGTGAAATCACTTTTGCCAGGGGTTTTGGAAAAACATGCTTTTTAATAAAGTGCACTTGACCTTTCTTTTGCTTATATTTGGCATAAATTCACAATGTGATTTCAGTTCTCAAAGAAGTAGAGGCAATATCTGTAAACCACAATACATTATTATATACCAGTCCAAACAGGAGGTCAGGATAGGAGAGAAAATGATGGCTTTGTTGTATTTAATAGATGTTTGACCATAAGCATGTGTTTAAGTTATTTTTATAAGTAGGATATATACAGTGAGAGCATCCCAAGTTAAGCAGTGCTCACAGCATGTTGCTGATACAGAATCTACATACAAAAACTTGTTTGCTTCTTAGGAATAGAATGTTCACGTGGAAAACCTGAAGAAGAGCTTCTCGTTCTTTTATTCCCTGTTAGGGCAGTTTTTACTGTTCAGGTGCTGAGAGGCTGTGTGCATGTGTGCTCTTTTTAAATTGGTATGCAGCTGCAGTACTTTTTCCTGTGCAGCTCTAAACCTACTTACAGTCCCCCTCATTACAAAAGCAACCTCCTTGTCTCAAGGAAAAATACTTTGAAGTAATAATGATGTTCTAATATATTGATAGGAGTTTGCGTAATTCCATTATCTCTTTAATGGACATTAGTTTAGATGGAGCTTTTCCATTGTCCTCTGGTCCTTTCATCATGAATTGGCTAGCTCAGTTGTAAATGAGTCAGTATCTTATTTCTTCAGAGAGAGCTGTCTGTCAAGAGGTTTGAATATTCTGGGAGTCATCTTTGTTAGGCAATATTCTTTTCTTCAGTTTGAGACAGCTATAATTATAAACATCTCACAAATTGTTTTTATAATAGACATGATTCCTGACAGCAAATATCTTCATATTAGGTTTGGAGAATCTGTTTCTATTAACTTTTAAGCAATTGTTTCATGTAGTTGCAGAAGTCACTAACTTTGTGTTGTGGTAATACCAGTTTTACATAACGGTGCCCTTTGTCTTCTAGAATGCTGTGTGAAGCCATTTATGTCAAGTCTCAATACATACTTGGTAATATTCTTATGTGTATGTTTCAGTTCTTCTGCATATGTTTTTATTTAGTTGGCAAGTGGAAATCAAATATCTTGTTCGCTTGTTTCTTGTTTTTTAGATATATTTGATTTTTTTTTAATCATTATTTTAGTTTAAACTATTTTTAAAAACATTTCCTTTGGTGGTATCGCTCAGGTTTTTGCAATTAGATTTAACACATGATTGCATTTAGTTTGCTCATCAAAAGTGGAGAACATTTAATATTTATTCATAACAAAAGTATTAGAGAAGCTGTCAATAAATTTTCTGTCCTAATTGAATCATAGGATATCTAAATTGTTGATAATATGATCTGCTCGTTAAACAAAAGTGTCTGGAGAAAATGATGGATTAATTGACTGATGGCTAAGGTTTCTCTCAAATATAATGGTTTACCCAGTTTGATTTGATTTGTGTAAAATAACTTTCTCTAATAAACAATTTGCTCAGAGGCAATAGGAGAAATGAATGGTTATCAAACCAAACTTAATTAGTCTATCCTAGATTGATATTACTTGGGGAGTCTTCGTTTTAATTGTGGAGGGCTGGCTACAAAGAGTTTGGTTCATTATATTTTTCCTGTAGAAACACTATTGTGTAACTACCTATGGAATATAACGTGAATTCATTTTAATAAATGCTTGTAAAGTGAATTAGCTAATTATGCCAGACTAAAAATGATTCCTTTAATTATTTTAGTTATTTAACTAGTACTTCAATTTTATTATTGTTAGTCCGTAAACGTAATTTGTATTAGCTCTGCCAAACTAATTAGAATATACAACTTAAACAGTTTCAACAGTTTTGTAATGCTCATAATGAATTCTTCTCTGGAAAAAAGTTCCATTTTCAAAATGTTCAAGTGATGCACAAATTCTTGGCATAGAAATAGTTTTGAGATGTGAGGAAGAATAACTTCTTTCTGCAAAATACAGTTTCAGAAAAGTTGAAATGATTCAAGACTCTTGAATGCTTTTCAAATGAGGGAAAACTCACTTTCTTTTCCTCAGAGATGGGGTCAAACTAAACATAAATCATTGGGTAACATAATTCCCTGATGCTCCAGAGCCACAGATTATCCATGTATAATATAAAACACAAATACAGTTATATCCCACTGTTTTCAGAGGTTAAGCACATGCTTAATTGCATTAGTAGATTAAAATTTAACATTCAAACTAAGAAGTTTTGATCTTAAAGGCTTCCAGTTAATTCACTCTAAATAATTTCTTCTTTCCTCAAGAAAAAGAAAACAAAAAGAATTTTCAGAACATCTGCGGAAGGTTTACAAGATCTTAATATAAAAGGTACATGAGAGGGATGTTGTTTGGAGCTGAGTGTGTGGAAAGAAAACATTATTAGTGAAGAGTAATTTAGGTGTTCTTAGTTATATTCCTTTGTGATTAATCTCGGTCTTGCAGAAGCAGAAATTAAGCTGGTTTATTGTTTCTTCTCACATAAAGTTTTCATTGTGACACTTCATTACCTTAGTTTTCTTTATATAGTGTAGGAAACTGCAGATAACGGAAAATCCAGTGAGGAAATAAGGATCATCTTTTGTTTCGTCCATGTATAGTCACTGAATGTAGGTTTGTGTTCTGTCTTTGAGAAGTAAAGATTTATGTGCATACATTTCTGCTATGAAGATGACTGTCCTGTCTCATCCATTTGAGTGACAGAAAACTGCTACAAAGTGCCAAGTGAGGCGTTTCTTTGAGCAGAAATGGTATAAACCAAAAGCTTTGGTATTGCCAATTAACCCATTCTCACGAGTTCTTTCTGAGATATGGCTACTTTACCTCCTGATGATCTAGCCATCTGAAGAGTAGTTCTTCAGCCGGTGTATCTATACTTAGCACTAGTACGGTTCACAGAGTCTCAAAGAGGATTCTGAGCACAGGATACTGAGAGTATATAGTAGTCCTTGGAGTATTTTAGAATTATGAAAATAAAGAAAAGTCCATGAACACTTCTTAAGGATCAAACGTTATCAGTTACATCTCATTAAAATCAGTGGGAGTCTCACAACTACCTTGAGGTTAGGGCAGCATTTTCACTTCAGGATTGTGGGAGCTCCTGTTATTATATGGCATGTCTCCTTGTTTGTGATGGCAGGAGAATTTCTCACACCCCAGGAGCTGCAGGAATTCTATGGGAATTTTGGAAGTCCAGAACTAAACTTCACTATTCTGCTCAGATCAACAGAATTTCTTCCTCTGGCTTTGGAAAAAATTCACCATTACATTTGTCTAAAGGTTTAGTTTGGTTTGATTTCTTCGTATCATCATTAGGTACATGCGGATTAAGATACACTAAACTGTGTTCCTTGTACCCTCTGGTGTACCTCCTGCTGTGACTCAACAGTGACCATGTGGCTGCTGAATCAAATCCAAACATCAGATTCTTGAGTACGTGAGCATCATTCTGTTCAAATACTGTGTTACATTGACCTGTCATGCTGGGCTGTTCAAGCTCACTGAAAACTTGACCAGAGGCTTGAGTCTTTCAAAAAGAGGAGAAGTTTTCACAGCCTAAAGTAGTAGGAGACTGGCAAACTTCAAGGACTCTTTGAGAGGCAGGAAAACGAAGGAAATAGAGCATCTTACAGGAGAGCAGTTTATTTTTTCATTGAGCATGTAGTGTAAAACTTAAAGTTGCAATTTAGACTCCTTGATCCTTAGTAAATACTACTTTTTGCACAGAACAATTACATTATCCTTGTAATACCAGTTTCTTCCACAATAGCACAGCATGTTCTGTACCTCCCCTTTTGTATATAAGAGGGAAGTAGCTGGAATCCCCCAGGAAGTGGAAGGCTGCTGTTCAGTTTGTGGTAAGCTTGAGGGGGTCAGGTCTGCATCTCTGACCTGTGAAGTGAATACTAGGCGTCGAGTTGCGCCGTGTTGAGGTGTGCTCTGTTGCTCATGTCCTTTCAGTGCCATTATGCAAACAAGAACAGTGGGGTGGAAGGAGAGCAAGAAAGCACTTCAGTACATAAAGGTTATCTTGTTTGGAGTGGAGGGAGGTCACCCTTGCACTGCAGGTTATTTATAGCTCTATACTTAACACTCACTGATTTACAAATAAAACCAAATGATCCTGAGATCAAGGCCATAACCATTATACTATCCGATCATGGAAGGCAAGGACATCAAGGAAAAGAGTAGCAAGATTTTATAGCAGTTCCAACTAATAGTTGTAACTTTAAAGGTTCTCCACAGTGATTTCTTTTGTTTGGTAAACCATAACATTTTCCTATACAAATCATAATTTCATTAAGCAATTTTACTTGTTCAAAAATAAGAAAAAAAAACCTTATATACAAATGTGTGCCTTCCAGGCAGGGAATAAAGGCTCTTTTTGAAAGCCTTTGAGATTCAGGATAGTTATTGGTTTTTAATAAAAAAGAGAGCAAGTATAAACCATAAAAAAATTCATAGCTGTATCAGAAGTTCAAGATTTTTCTTAAAGCATTTCGGTTTTGGTATCTGAAACGAATATTTAAGAAATATTAAAGGGTATACAGGTTAATATAGGATGTGATCTTGAAATATCTGAAATACTTAAAGCACTAAAGTTGTGTTAAAATTACATTAAATTTGCATTTTGTTATGTTTAATCTTTAAGCAAGGGTAAACACATTTTCAGATCAAGTTTTATAGTTGTAATAATGAAGAGATTCGTGGATTATGTTTTACTCAGGTTATATGCTGTTCTTTACTAATTCAGTATTCTCAATAAGCATGTTTCACTTCACTAACTGACCAATTCTTGAGGTGTTATATAGGCTAAATATTTGTAATTTCTATATCATGCTGTGTGGTTAGATAAACATGTATACAGTCTCAGGTTCTGTTGGTGCTGCAGTTCATGTACCATCCATAATGTATGGCCAAAGTAATGGTGAACTTTTTAGTTTTGTTTTTTGTTAGGGTTTGGGGGTCTTGTGGTTTAAGTTTTTTATTCTGATGGTTTCAGCTACAGAGTTTCAGCACACACTTAAT